CCCCCCCCCCCCCCCCCGCGCGCGCGGAAAACAGGCGAAGATGGACGACTTGGACGCTGTAATGAGTAACTCTTTCGGGTTTGGCGGCACCAATGTCTCCTTGCTGTTCTCGCGCGTGTAACGCGACCAAGCGAGACCTTGTCGCTGTTCGCGATGATTCGATAAGAGAATTGGAGAGGGTTCGGAGTTTGGAGGAAGGGGAGGGAAGGAACCAGTGGTCAAGACTTGTTGTGCCTTGTTTTGCAACCGAAACATGTGCATACCGGTATTGTTTTGTGCCTGGCGTACGGATGGGGCTGTTTGTCTTGGTTGGATCGCAAGGTCATCTGATGGTTGTCGTGATGATATCTCCCATCTTTTAGTTTCGTGTTCGCCTTGGCTTTGTGTCGAACTGTTAGTGATTGCCTTTTGCTTTGATTCCCTCCTGGAGGAACTTCATGGCTGACTGCAGAAAAAGAGCCCGGAGTTTGAAGTGAACCAATACGATTTGACGGTGTATCGGAATTGTGGGAACCTCACGCATGTGTTTTGTGAGCACCTAACGCATGTGTTTGACGAGGAAACGGTGTGTATGCTGGCTTTCTTCGAATCAGAGAGCGTTCCTGGCTTGGGGCTCTGCTTGTTGTGGAAGCAGGGTAATTAGGGGCGACTCCGCCTTTGGTCGGTCCGAGTGATAGCGCTTACCTAGCCCATGTCCCCGACATAATTCTACCGCCTCAGGTTTTCGAAACGAAAAGGGTGTCGTAGCCGTGGTCCCAGTCTTATTCACGGTCATTCGGTACTACAAGGGGCCATCGACTGCTGTCCGCGTGGCCACTGCGAGCGACGCAAATCCTTTGCATCAGGTCCACAATTTGACAGATACAGGGTCTTCTTGTGTACAGTACTCTACCCAAAGTACGCTTACTGAACGGCGCCAAAGGCGTTTGCAAGCACGTCACTGCCTGTGCGATCCCGTCGTGTATACGGTGGCATCTCGCTTTGGTGGCGCGTGCGCTACCGCAGTAGCGTGTAACGGAGGAGCTTCGCGTGCATGTCTGTTCCAAGAAGGCGGACTCGATCGTGACGAGATATCGGTATCACCCAAGTTATAGAAACTACGTGGTACTTTCCTATTTTGGATCCACGTACAAGGAGAAGTCTCGAATATGGGGGGGGATGCTGTGGAGACCACCTTCATCAAGGTACAATCCTCCCAACGTCTGTCGAGGATGATCTACTCTTTTGACATTGGCGTCGCTCGAATTGTTGCATGGCAGTCAACCCCCAACGCCTTTTCACACAACAAGAGAAGTCAACACAGCTAACGTCTACACACACAACTATTGGATCGTCCTCTCTCTCTCTCTCTCTTTCTCTCTCTCTCTCTCTCTCTCTCTCTCTCTCTCTCTCTTTCTCTCTTTCTCTGTCTTTTTCTCTTTCTCTCTTTCGGTATCTCGTTGAACACTCCTCCATCGTATGTTTGTCGCATACGCTTCTTTTCGAGATCTGTGCTCTACATTGAGACTCAATAAACGGGAGATAGACGAGCCCACTCGTACAGACTATTCCCTACAACCTGATACTACGTCTAGTCACCGCCCAGACCGGAGCACAGTCTCTTGTCTGTGTTCCCACGTCCGTAAACCCTTTGGTCTGCGGCCACACCATTTGGTGGCCGCCCCCCCTCCGTCTAACCGTTGTTCGTGAGAAAGCACCGTCGGAAGCTTGAGCTTCATTAAAAATCTCAAGGATCATTGAAGCGTCCAACGTGGAGGCATACACACGCCACTCAATACCCTAAAATTGGTGTCCTTCCTCCCAGCCTTAAGTTATCTACGTGCGTATGAATACGTACATCCACGCAACGTTATATGAATAGCTGCATGTCGTATCAAGTGGCGACGATATGGTTAGGTAACGTTTGCGCGCCGCAACAGGTGGAGTCGGCATCTAAATATATCATGTTCTATGTTGGCACCACAGCACATCAACAGCAAATGTAATAAGTGAACATCGGTCGACAAAGATGGCGAGAGCAGATGCGAGGGAAAATCTGTCGAATCACGATTCTACGCACACACTTGTAGAAAAAATGTGATGCGTTTACAACGCCCCACCCCAACGTCCCCTGTCTGCTTAGTTGTCCCTTTCCTCGATGCCACCACAACGGCACCCACTGAACGGGCAAACACCACGAAACTCACCAAAGAAAGTTCTTGTGTACCACCGAAACAGTCAACCCCGGGCACAACAAGAAAAAGAGTAGAACGTAGGACTCTCGAAGGCAGACCGAGAGAAGGCACGAGATGCACCCATGAGATGATGCTCTTCATGCACCGCAGCAATCCTCCCGCCAAACACACAAACACACGAAACAGAAATGTCGCTTTCGAAGTGACACCTCCCATCTACTCGGCGCTTTGGCCTCCTTGTGTTCGGTCGGGTGTCCCTCAGCCACTCACACTCCGCAGCAACCACGGGGCGCGCGCGCGGGGGAAACTGGGGGAGCCTATCCTTTCGAGCAGTTTTACCGTGAAAAGCGGTCACACCACGGATGACCCCTTGTTTCGTTGCACCCCGAAACAAGGACCTCGTTGGAACTTGTTTCGAACAAGCGAGGAGGCATGGACGTGTGCAGTATCAGCAACGGTAAGGCGCAACGCGAGGCATGGTGAGCGTTCCTGTCAGCATGGCCAGCCTTCTCCGCTCTCTTTTCCTTCTTGTTCTTCTTCACAGTGCTCGTCTTGGACTATCTTAAGCAACCAGCGTGTTCGAACTGGCGCCCGCAGTACCATTGGGCTATTCTCGTCCTCCTCTCGTTGTTGAACGATCCAGCCAGCGATGTTAACCTCCTCCTTCTCCTCCTCCTCCTCCTCCTCCTCCTCCTCCTCATCCTTCTCCTCTCCCCACGAACTCTGCCCGTTGGCTGCATCGACAGTAGGGTCGTAATCCCTAACCGGTGCCGGTGCTGGTGTCGATGCTAGTTCTGGTGCTGCGGCTGCCTCCTCGGTTGCCTGTGTTTGAGATACTCTATCGATACTCTATCGCCCATGCTTGTTGGCCGTTGGTTGTGCCCCGACCCGCGTCCCTCACGATTTTTTCGTCGCACGTCTTGCATGTTGGTCTGTCCGTGTAGTGGTGGTAGCGCCGCCACCACGATCCCTGCCCCGTCCGCCCCCTTTGCTCGCCCAATGTGAATTCCCTCCGTCTCTCGCTAGCGCATCTAGTATCAGCCTCCTCTGTCGGCTGGTGAAGCTTCCGTGGTGGGGCCGACGGGGACGATGGCCATCACCATCATCAGCTACAGCCCCTGCCCGCTCGTCGCTGGCATCTTCCCCCTCACTTGCTTCGTCGTTAACCGCACTCCCGCTACTTCTACTGAAACTGCGGCGGCGGCGGCGGCGGCGGCGGCGGCCACCCCTTAGACGGGTACCGGTGGTGGCGCTGCCCGTGGCGGTGACGGTCGTGCGGGGGGTGACTTTTGAAGGCATGAACACTCCAGGGCTCCAAGAGTGCGGTCGGCTTTGCCGTTCGCGGCCGTCGTTGCCGCCGCTACTGCTGCTTCTACCACCGGCCCCGCTCGCCGCTACTTTTGGCGCCGCCACCGCCGCTACCGCCTCTACCTCGGAGGGATGTTGACGTCTCTGCTTGGCCGGGAGCTCGGCCTTGATGGCCCCCAGCTCGGCGACGACCTCCGACGCCGTCGGCCTCCTGGATTGGTCGGCGGGCCAGGCGGACGCGAGCAGCTTGCAGAGTCGGTCGGGCCAGGATCTGTGGAGTCGCGGGCGCTCCCCGCCGGTGGCCACCCTCTACACTCCGCCGCATGTTTTCGTAGAGCACGGGGACATAGGCAACGGAGGGATACATGTCTGTCGGTCATTCTCGGGAAGAACAAACACCAGCAATTTCCTTGCTCTGCCCGATGATAGCGCCAAGCGGGGGGGGGGGGGG